ACGTAAATAGAAAATAGAAAGACTTGAACAAACAATTCACAAGAAAAGATATTAAAATGGTGCTAAAATATGAAAGAGTAGTCAAACTCATTCAGAATCAGTAAGACTGGTAATTTTTTATTATTATTATTATTATTATTTTTTTTTTTTTTTGAGATAGAGTCTTGCTCTGTCACCCAGGCTGGAGTGCAGTGATACGATCTTGGCTCACTGCAACCTCTGCCTCCCGGGTTCAAGTGATTCCCCTGCCTCAGCCTCCCCAGTAGCTGGGGTTACAGGCACGCACCACCATGCCTAGCTAATTTTTGTATTTTTAATAGAAACGGGGTTTCACCATGTTGGTCAGGCTGGTCTCGAAGTCCTGACTTCGTGTTCCACCCGCCTCGGCCTCCCAAAGTGCTGGGATTACAGGGGTGAACCACCGCACCTGGCCAAGACTGGTAAAATTTTTTTAAACAGCAATACAGTCTATTAGTGAGGTTATGGAGAGACAGGCCTTTCAAACATTACTTGTAGCAATGTAAATTGGTACAAAGTTTCTAGAAGGAAATTTGGAATTGTGTAACCTTTTAGACCCAACAATCCCACTTCAGGGAATTTTCCCTGAACATAGACCTGAGCAATACAAAAATACATCCACAGACGATCGGAAACTGTCTAAATGTCCGTACACAGGAGAGTGTTGAGTCAACTATGGAGCACTCACATAGAGAGGTACTGGGGAGCCCAGGACAGTGTGTCCAGGACAGCGTGAAAAAAAAGCAAAGCCCAAAAGATACCTAGGGTGTGCCACAAACTTACCAGCTTAAAACAAGGCACATTCAGTATCTCTTCCCCTGGCAGAGAGTTCAGGCACCTCTTAGCTGGGTCCTTGCTCAGGACTCACAAGGCTGTAGTCAAGATGTTCGGCAGCCTGTATTCTCATCTGGAGGCCCAACTAGGGAAGAGTCGACTTCCAGTTTCATTCAGATTGTGGCAGCTTCATTTCCTTGCGATTGTTGGAGTGAGGTCCTGAGATTCCGGAGGCCTCCCCGTGCTTGCCTTAGGCTCAGTTCACATCAGAGAGGCCTATATCCTAGAAGGCCTGAGCCCATTGAAATGTCAGGCCCATACAGGATCATCTCTCTCCCTTTTGATTATTTCAAAGTCAGCTGATTAGGGAGTTTAATTATATCTGCAAAATCCTTTCACGTTTGTCATCTGACATAATTGCAGGAGTGACAGCCCATCACTTTCTTCACATTCCGTGGATGGAATCACAGGTTCTGCCCTCGGTCGAAAGGAGGGGATTACTCACCAGTGTTACTCATTGGAGGTCACTTGAGGGTGTGTCTGCCACAGTGAGTGGAGAGAAATAGTCTAATAAATAAAAAACCAAGTGAGGAAGAAGATGGCTCTTCTCACAATGGAATTCCAGTAACTAAATGTGGAAGAAAAAGGGGAAATAGAGAATCCTCGTTGCCAATACCACTGTAGTAAATGTAAACAAGATCTTCTAAAGGATCCTGAAATTCGTGGGTGCAGGTTTGAGGAGGCATAGGATTTGCATAGTCTCAAATATCTTCTAAAAAATCCTTACCAACTACAAAGGGAAAATAGATTGTACTGAGAGGAGTATGACATTTTTGTGGTGCACTTCCCCAAATTCATAACCTCGTTTTAGTGATAAAAATATTATCAGAGCAAATCAACTTTGGCAACATTCTACAAAATAACTGATCAGTACTCTTCAAAGGTGTCAGGGTCACAAAATAGAAGGAAAGACTAAGGTACCAACCAACTGGAGGAGGCTAAGGGGAAGTCACTAAATGCAATGTGCGATGATCCCCACAAAAAGACATGACATGGAAAAATGGGTATAATTCAAATGAGGTCTTTAGGTAAGCTTCTCTTCTGGTAATTGTATTATGGTTATATAGGATGTTAACATTGGAGGAGGTAGGCTAAAGGATATAAGGGAACTCCTTGCACTATTTTTACAAGTTTTCTGTAAGTCTGAAATTAATTAAAAATAAAAGTATGTTTTTAAAATGATAGCATAGAATTAGGCTGATAATTTTATGTCAGTAAAAGTAGAAATTCAGGTGACAGTTCTGCACCTAAATGTTGCATGTTGTTGTGTATGTGATCATTGGAGAATACACAAGTGTATAATGGTGGAACTTATTCTTAATTCATAGTATAGTTTTTTCCAGTTGTATTTTTTTCCATCATGCTTACATCATAATAGACATTGCTGAGGAAAGAAGACGGGGCTCTCTTTTTTTTTTTTTTTTAAACTATTTTAATGTTAAAGTGCCTTCATCCAGTGGGTTGGTTCACTGTGCCTGGCAGTATTCTCTTTAAAAATTATTACCACACTTTGAGAGGTTTTACTTGTGACCAACACATGTCATATAAAAATCTATAGTTTTGAAGGTGTTTATTGCATTTGGTTGGTTCAGAGGGCTCTGAATTTTCTTCTTTATGTGGACCACGGACACAGATGAGTGTTCTGTCTCACGTTCTCAAATGCGCTTCCTGAGGCATCATCTGCTGTGACGATCTTTAAACTATGCCTGTGGAAGATCGAGTTGTTTCTTAGTAACTATAGTTACTGAATTATAGTAACTATGACTTAGTAGTTATGGAACTACGGATAGAAAGATAGGGAGTAAAGGAAAATGAATAAGATGGTTTGGGTGAATCTGTGTCATGATAAAGCTCTTGTTTCTTTAACAGAATGAATTTAATATGTGAATATTCTCGTTGCTTTAAAGGGACATCTGCTTTAGAATTGTACCACACAACCGGTAGTGCTGCTTGGCTGTGGCGGTATTTTATGAATCATGGGATGCATTTCTTACAGCCTTTTTTATTTCTACTTGAAATATTGTGCATAAGAGCAGTGCCTCGGGCGTGCACCATCTAAGCCACGGTGCCCTGTGTTCACGTAGAATTACTGTTTGTTTTTACTGCCGTGAGTCTATGAATCCAGCCTGTCATGCAGAAGTGATCCTGATAATGTAAGCACTTACTGTCTTGCTGCAGCTGATTCCCCAGTGACATTTTAAAAAGTCAGTATTTGGCTGCAGAGTGCTTTAAATTTCTAAATGGACTATAGATTGGAGGCCTTAGGGTATTTCATAGGAAGCACATGACCCTGCAGTGAGCACACAGCAACTTTTGTAGATCTGTAGCCAAGTCGGTGACCAGTATTTACCCTTGAAATTGTTTTGGTTCAGAATGTTAAGTGTTTTTTACTTTACATTTAATTATTTGGTACTAATACTAATTTACTACAAATGTCTGACACTAAATGGATACTTAACGAAGTCTATGCTGTTTGTCCAGGTCTTCTATCCCAACTAGGTATGGTTCTAATGTAAAAAGCAGCTTCTAGCAGTGACACAGTGCATATTTCTCAGTGTCTATAAATTCAGGTCTTTGATTTTCACTTAATCTGAAAATGAGAGTGGCAGTTACACACTCAGGAACACTCAGAAATACATTAACACGTTTTGCATTCTTCTCTAAGTGAAGCCTAAGCCCCTGAAAACAATTGTTTTATAGTAATATTTTAACAGCTATTTGTATATGTTATCTAAACTGAAAATCGTATTCCTGACCCTCTGGCTGCCACAGATGCACCACGATTAGACTCAGTTTGGAGTGACAGTCCGGAGAGATTCTGGGACCGTGTCCTGCCTGGCCACGTGGGTAACACACCCATCTTGTAGAACCACAAGAGGGTTGGTTGTTGTACATCGTCAAATACCAGGCTTTGTGCCGAATGTGTCCTGACCTTCACGGGGGCAAATTGGTGATGACCTTTAGGACATTAACTTGTTTCTTTATTATTTGTATTTCTTTTGAGCAATATGCATGACTGTGGAGCAGTGGGTCTGATGGGGTCAGAGCAGTTAGCCTGATCCAACCAGGGTCTCAGGACCACCACACCAGAGGACTATGCAGTGTTCTTTTTGTGTGCGTATGAGTGTGTTTGTGTTTCCAATTTATTGAAGCAAAGGGGGAGGGCAGAAGATAAAATAGCATGGTCCTCATGTCACGAGAGCTAGTGCCTTGAGGACTGTGCTAAATTCAACTGCCTTTTTAATTCCATTACATTTTTAGTCACAGAAATGCATCTAAACCTCTGAGCCAAAAAGTGAGTTGAGATCATCAGCTACCTCTGATGATTTTTAAATTTCAAAATCTCATCTCCTGCCTTCACATGACTCATCTTTCTTTTATCAATATAGTAAGAAGTATCTTCCTTTAAATAATATTATCAGATTGTGATTTATTACGTATTTGTTATGCTCAGAAAGGGATTGAAAGAATACAGATAAGATTCCTATCTTAAGGAGGTTACGTTATATTTGGAAAAGACAAACTGAGCATACATTTAAAACTAGAAATTAAATACATACTATTGCTGTGTTAGCAATAAAGATCAAAAGAGATGCAGAATAATAGTCCCTTCTTTAGTGATCATATATACTGCATTTTATAGTAGAATTTTTTTTGTTTCTTAATGGAGGTCTTCTAAGTTTATGTTAAGTCTCTCATTGACTAATGATGAAGATTTTTTAGAAGTCTGTTGATATTACTGTATTGATTGGATATTACCATGAGTAATTGTCGGCCACTCTGCATGCCTGCCCAGCTGGAAACTCACGTAAGAGTCAGGAAGATGAGTTTGGCCCAATGACCCTACATTTTCTGAAATGCCTTGAAGAAGTGTGTGTCAAGAAATTTCAGCTACAGATTGATTCATATATGAGTTTAGGAACTTATTCAGTAACAGCTTTTCAGCAGGTGTGTAGCTAAATATGTTTATTCATGTTTCCTCTTTGTTTTCCAGGGAAAAGATGAGCTATTACACTCTAAGCTATGTCTTTTTTTAATGGGGCTATACCTTTTGTGATCATAAAAATTAAATGTGTCTTGATTTTGCATGACTGCACTATTAATGCAAAGGGTTCCCCCATCTCCACTTCCCCTCCTGTGTTTTACAGGTAGTCAGATGCCTCCGCAGCCACCCGGGAGCCAGTCAGAATCCAGTTCCCATCCCGCCTTGAGCCAGTCACCAATGCCACAGGAAAGAGGTTCGTCTCCAGTTCATGTCTTACATGCCTATAGTGCTTTCAGGCGATAAGGCTTACGTGAGTTTGCTTACCTATGCACCTCCTTATCATGACTTTTTTGAAAGGATGTTATGTTTTCTTATCAGATGGAAGAAACAAACAAAAACCCTTCCAATAAATATGGAGCGGAGGGAGAATGCTTTCTTGCAGGTTGGGTGAAGCTTTGTCAAACTACAGTTCAAGGCCCTAAGAATGTGTGTGTCCACATAGCACCATGAAGCACGGTTCACATGTGACTGTAGTCTGGTATTTGATCTAGTTGTGTAAAAATAACTGTGAATCACTCAACTGGGGTATCAGTCCCAATGCGTATGTACGTGGGTTGGGGGTGAGGGGTTGTGTGTGTTAATACTGGTTATTTCCTGATATTTAATAGTAAGATTTTAAACCCAGAGCAAGACCCTGTCTTAATCAATGGTAAAATCTTAGAACTGGGGCAGACCTAAAACTTTCTATGGCCCCGGTCACCTAAAGCAACTGAGGAGTATAGAGGTTAAGTGTGGCTTCCCTTATTCTCAGGAGCTAGTTAGTGCCAGTCCCAGAGAAAAAGAATATGGGCTTTTCTGAAACCTTTGGAGAGAAGTGGCCCCACATCTGCTAGTGCTCTTGACCCTGAGCTCAGTCCTGCCTGTCATCCCTGCCATGCGTTTCTTACGGCCTTGCAGAGACCTTGGGCCCACCCATAGTTACCTCTGTCTTCATTCTCACTTGAAGCAGTAAAGCTACTCTTTGTGGTGGTTTTAATCCAGATTGGTGTACTGGGGAGGTACAAGAAGCCTACCTGTGCACCCCTGGTGCAGTGGCAGGTCACGTCCCTTGCTGTGGGGCAAGGCTCGCCTGCTCCATCCCATACCAAAAGAGAGAAATACCACTGTCCTCCACTCCCCTCCTCTCTCACACAGGCCTGGAGGCCAGAAGTTCCCACCTTGGCAGCTAATATGTACTGAGCTGCTGCTGTTGATAACTTTTTGTATATGAGTTGTAGAGATGATGATTTGCTTCTGATTAGAATTATGATTTCTGATTAGAATTATGAGGTTTAAGTTATTTTACATGTTAAAAACTCAGCAGCATGTTTAGAAAGTAATGTCAATGAGAAGATAGATTTGTTTTATCTACACATCATTTGTGTTGAATTGAAATGTTTCAGAGGGATAAAATGAATTTTTCATTTTCGAATACCATTACATATTTAACTTTTTATTATAGTGTAAGGTATAGTTGATAATATAATGTTTTAATAATGGAATAGTTCATGGTTTTTAAACTTTAGAGTGTGTGAGAATCATCTGGAGGACTTGTTAAAAGAGATTCCTAGGCCCCACCCCCAAGTTTCCAATTCAGAAGGTTTGAATTGGGACATTTAAAACCTCCATTTTTGGCAAGTTCTCAGATATTGCTGATGCCGGTGACTTGAGGACCGTACCTGAGAACCACTGCCTTCTAATGGTGCAATAATAGGTTTTCGAGGTGGGAGAATCACCTGAGCCCATGGAGGTCAAGGTTGCAATGAGCTGCGATCACACCACTCACTGCACTCCACCCTGAGCGACAGAGTGAGACCCTGTCTCAAAAAAATAAAAATAGATTTTAATAATTGTGTGAATATGTGCATTTGTTTCCCTAAATTCTCTACTGTGACCTGCTGTAAATCATCCTTTCATCCCATATCGTCTCTATAAATTGCTTGATCTATATTAACTCATGTGGCTCCGGTCATCTTGAAGGCATTATAGAAGTTCATAGTGTGCTGGTGCCAAGCAAGCGTGACTCTGACTAAAATCCTCTTTTGGGTTGTGAGTTGCACCTGTGTTGTATGGTTGGGTCACTGTGGGGAAAAAGGAAATTGTCCTGCACTGGGTGCCTGCTCGGGTCAGGCAGAGAACTGAGATGAAGACTCACCCCATAACCCTGTAACATCACTCTCACAGTTCTTTCTATTTTAACAAGTATTATAGGGTAAGAGGTCCCTTATTTGAAAGTCTTAAAATTTCAACCTGTATTACTAAGAAGAAAGAAAAGAAAGAAGAAAGAAAAGAGAAACCCTCTCCTTGAACAATGTCTTTCCCAACCTTTTCCAACAGATACGTGCTTGGGAAATTGGGCAGTGTAGAAAGCCAGATGTGAAAAACAGGACGACAATTAGGAAACTGAGCTAAATCAAACTTTTAGCTTAAATTAACACACTTTCAAGGCAAATTCTAGGCTTTTTAGTGGTACTATTGTATGGAAATTACCATGTTAATATGATTATTGTTTTTCCTTTGATTGCCTTTATTATATGTAGTGTAGTTTGGGTAACTGATACCAGATACATAACAATCTGGGTGGTTATAATGACCACTTCCTTTTTTTTTTTTTTTGAGACGGAGTTTCGCTCTTGTTGCCCAGGCTGGAGTACAATGGCGCATTCTCGGCTCACTGCAGCCTCTGCCTCCTGGGTTCAAGCAATTCTCCTGCCTCAGCCTCCCAAGTAGCTGGGATTACAGGCATGTGCCACCACGCCCAGCTGATTTTGTATTTCAGTAGAGATGGAGGTTTCTCCATGTTGGTCAGGCTGGTCTCGAACTCCTGACCTCGGGTAATCTACCCGCCTCGGCCTCCCAAAGTGCTGGGATCAGAGGCATGAGCCACCACACCCGGCCATGACCATTTCTTTCAAATAGTAAATATAAATTATATAAGTTGCTAAATGTGAATTGATTTTTATGAATGTGATCTCTAGACCTCCTCTGAAGAGACGTTATTATATTGTTATAGTTTGTTTGCACACAGCTATAAAGAACTACTGGAGACTGGGTCCTTTATAAAGAAAAGAGATTTAGCTGACTTTTAGTCCTGCAGGCTATGGGAGGCCTATGGAAACTTCCAGTCATGGTGGAAGGTGAAGGTAAATGTAGCACATCTCACATGGCAGGAGCAAGAGGAAGAGAGCGAAAGGGGAGGTGCTACACACTTTTAAACAACCAGATCTCGTGAGTTCTCACGAGATAGCACTAGGGGGGTGATGCTAGACCATTAGAAACCACCCCCATGACCCAGTCACCTCCCACCAGGCCTCACCTCCAACATTTGGGATCACAATTCAACATGAGATTTGGGTGGGGACGCAAAGCCAAGCTGTATCACTGTGTGCATTCCCTTTTGTGTGTATCTGTTGGTTAGGCAACACCCTGAAAAGGAAAACTTCCTATTTTAAAATGACTGTTATGTTAGAAGATGTTTTGCCTCAACATGAGTGAAATTCCCTCCAGCACTGGGTAGCAAGGCTCTAGCGAAAATGGCTTTATTATGTGTTAAAATTTAGGAAAAAATGTTAGCTCCTAATAACCTTTGATCAAATGCCACTTGATCAGGTGTTTAAATGGCAAATGACAGTCACTTTAATGCTTTCATACAATAATAAAACCATATGTTTGTTGGACCATCATTTGGTATGTACCAGCAGCATACACAATGGAAAGTAAATCTAACAAAACTCTTACTAAGAAATTCCCTAAAATTGATCCCACCATATTGGAAAGTAACTTATCTTTGTTTATACTCTTACAATTGATATATACCCGCCCTGTTTAGGGAAGTGCTGAAAGAAACAGGCCAAGAAATACATTAGTGAGTTAGCGTCTTTTTAAAAAAAAAGTATGTCAGGCTGGGCATGGTGGCTCACACCTGTAATCCCAGCACTTTGGGAGGCTGAGGTGGGCGGATCACTTGAGGTCAGGAATTAGAGACCGGCCTGGCCAACATGGTGAAACCCCATCTCTACAAAAAACACAAAAAAATTAGCCGAGCATGGTGGTGTGCGCCTGTAGTCCCAGCTACTCGGGAGGCTGAGGCAGGAGAATCGCTGGAACCCGGGAGGCAGAGTTTGCAGTGAGCCAAGGCTGCAGTGAACTGAGATCACGCCACTGCACTCCAGCCTGGTCAACAGAGCAAGACTCTGTCTCCAAAAAAAAAAAAAAAGGTATATCACGGGAACCATAGACCCGGACAGAAAAGATAATGACATTGCTTCTCTACTGCTGAGTGCTAAAATAACCACATTGAACAGTTCTTTTTACACTTAATTTGTTTTAATAAATAAGATTATGATAATAATACTAATATTCCACCGCATACCTACTTTCTTTAATGTACCCACAGGAGATAACATTTTCTTTAATGGCAAGGAATCTAGAAACACATTTGCACAGAGACAAGAGATGATGGAGAGTGAGAGATGATGCAGCCTACTTCTCTCTGGAGGTGCAGTTTTCTGAGTCCTCCCTCCAAGTCCTCATGGGGCAGTGATGCTGGCAACACTGCCCTGGAGCCTAAGTCCCCCCAGTCTCAAGAAGCTGAACCCTTGCTCTGCTCTTTCTTCTCTGCTTGGTCCTGTGTTCCCATTCAGGAAGGGCATGTGTTGATAAACCATGTACCCTGTGTTTCAGAGGTTCTACAAACCTCTGGTGACAGCAAGGTCAGTGAAGTGCCCGGATTTCCTGACAGCAGTCCTTTGTAAACCTGCAGTCCCTGTCCCCACCTCATTGCTTTTTCGGTGCCCATTTTATCTAGTGGTTTTGGTATTGAGTTTTGTCACAGGACATCAGTCACAAATCCATTTCCCCACATGGTACATAGATGAAAAGAACTGTGAGTTTCTACAGTTTGATATTTTCTATGTATAAAAGGTATTTGTGCAAGTAAATATGGACATGGCATCATAGGTTACAAATGGAGGGAAAACTTTAGATGTTTACTGGGCTCTTTACTCTCTTACATAGTGTTGCCTCCTCTACATTTTCTTCTGTTTTCCAGTATAAAACTTGATTTAGTATTGTGCTGCTGGAAGGGTTTTATTTTTTTGGGTTTTTTTGTTTGTTTGTTTGTTTGTTTGTTTTGGTGTGCGCCTGTAGTCCCAGCTACTCGGGAGGCTCAGGCTGGAGTGCAGTGGCGGGATCTCGGCTCACTGCAAGCTCCGC